ACTAATCTCAGGCAAATAATCCCCTACCTCACCCAGGCTTACTCATAGGTCAGCACTAAAGACTAAAAGCCTTAACTGGCTAAGTCTAAAAAAACTGTCAACACACGGCCTACTGAAACTCTCGAGTGGGCAAACCGCCCACTCGAGATGAAAAAAACCCTAGGAATAATTTATATTGCCGGGTCAGCTAGTTCTTTTTTATAGAAAAACAACTCAGTTTTACTCAAGTGTTAAATAAAGTGTGTTGTTGGGCGCAGCAACCACCTCCGAAGATGCAACCCGCGGGAGAAATTTCTTTCCACTATACCTTCAGTGCCGAAAAACTCATCAATATCAGTTTGCAGTTTTTTAGGGCGAAAATTACCCTCCAAATCCGTCTCCCCATTCCAATGGCACAACTAGACAAATTTCCGCTTAAGCTGCGTCCGCCGTAAAAAGCGAAACAAAACAGTTTCTTTGGCGTAGATTGGAAAATGGGACAAAGCCCATTAAAATAAATCCCCGCCCGCCTCGTTTTCCATGGGCAAGATTAAAGTGGATTCTAAAATCGGTGTCTGCCCCCTTCACAGTTTAATTGTTTCGCTTTCCAAGCACATTTGATTAGAGTTTAGAAAAAAGGCGCTTGTTGCTTTGCAGCGGAACTCGAGGGGAAGTACGCGACGATGCAGTGGCGCACCCTGCACATCGGTGGCCTGCACCACGCCGAAGAGGAAATCAGCATGTCGACGACCGTTCCGAACTTTGTTGGTGAAATTCAACAATTCTACTTCAATAACATCCCGTATATCGAACTAGCCAGAGCTCTCAGCACGGAACAATCGATTTCTGGTAAGAATCTGCTAATTTGCCTACAACTCCGACGCCAATACGAAACACTCTGTATTGTTTGAAAAACACATTGAAAAAACTCGGTCGTGCAATCAGTTCAATCCCTATTTCTTAACGGGTAATTGCAGCAAAACAACGCCGGTTGCCACGGATACCAAGCAAAATTCCTCTGGGGACAGGTCTGTGTGCACCATGGTTCGGAATATAATATCAACTGATTGTACAGGGTGGGCCACTAAGAGAGGTGGTCGGCCGTATCTCACAAACTATTAGTCGCATCGATTTCAAGTAAAAAAATATGTAAGTAAAGTAGCTCAGGGAAATGGCTGGAAATTACTTTCAAGTTTGCAAAATGGCCGCTAGAGGGCGAAATTGCAATAGCAAAGTTTAAATACGTATTTTTAGCGGTTTGAGATAGGCTAAGGTAGGTTGGGGGTATCTTCATTCTATTCTTGACAAACTTTTCAGTTATTTCTTGTGGGAGTATTATTGTTCTAGCTAGTCAAATAAAGTGGTGGGGGAAAATGAAATAACGGTTCTAAAAGTTGTTAATAGCTCCGTATTGGCTTAACCAAATTCAACGCTTAAATTGCAATTAAATAGCTCCTGATTTACATTAACACCTACTATAAAATATTGGCCGATATGATTGCCACTTTGGCCGCCAGAGGGCGCGTTATAAAAAGTCGTCAAACTTTTTCGATTTTCTAACATTTTTTAAATGGAGTGATATATAACTTTTTAGCTGCTTAGAAGGAGTATAAAAAATGAATCAAAATAGTGAAAACCACACACCGATATATTTGTTATAACCGAAGATATAAGCAATTTGACAATAGCAATGATATTGTTGGGTTGTTGACAAAACAATCGGTTCTGAGAAGAACATCAGTTTCTTACAAATATATTTTGGACATATGAAGCTACTTTTAACAGCAATGGGGGAGTTAATTTGCATAATATTCATTATTGGTCCAGAACAAACCCTCACAGGATGCAGAAAGTTGAGCATCAAGGGCGATTTAGTGTCAATATCTGGTGCGGAATAATTGGGGGCCGAATTATCGTTTAATTTATATTTGAACAAAAGCTCAACGGAAATATTTATTTACACTTTTTACAAAACCAACTACCATTACTATTGGAAGACATACCGGTGCGAAAGCAGATAAACATGTTTCTTCAAGAAGATGGGTGTCCGGCTCATTTCTCGGTAAATGTCCGTCGATTTTTAGACAACGCTTATCGTGATAGATAGATAGGACGAGGCAGTTTATTCCCG